CCTGACTTTCAGTCCCCTGCTGAGGAGGAGTGTTGCTGTAGGGCCCAATCCCTACTTTTGGCAGGTGCACAAATCGAGAAGTGTACCGCAGGTGCACAAATCGAGAAGTGTACCACATCTTGTCTGGCAGGTGCATGACCCCTGCTAAGGATGACACGCACAAATCCGAATGGCTCAAGGCTCAAGCCCTATGAAGGGCGCAGCGAGGTGGGTGCGAAAAGCACCTTGGGGCATTGGGGTTTGGGTTGCTTGTTTGAGGGTCCTTGTAGTGCCTTGCTATCTTGCATGCTACTCGATGTACTATGGAGAAGTATGATCATCTAGATGACTTACCTATGCAGATTAGAAGGCATCATGCAAGTCCTACTCCTAGTCACTATTCTATTGTTACGAACAGCCCTTCCCCTGAACCAAACACCAGAAATCAACAAGATCAACGCGCAGCCGTGAAGCCTGGTCGTTCTACCAAGGGGTTTCTGAAAGTCTCAGCAAGTTGGAGTAAGCGAGTAAGCTTGAGTGAGAGGCGCTTTTCTTTTGTTAGACGGACGTTTTGCTGGCTTCGCCTGGCCAAGGCAACTCGTGCATCCGCCGCATTCGGAGTCGGGCAGAGCCCATCACATCTAGATGTGACGTGCGAGGCCTCATGTTGCTTTATCCAAACTCTCAAGCTGTGGGGGAATCTCACGCCCATACGTTCAAATTACAGCACAGCTTGTCTCGACTTGGCACGGTAAATCTGCCCGCTGCTGAACTGCTGCTGTCAGGTTGCACACCTCTGTAAAAAACATCTGCTCACCTGAGTGCTGAGCGTGCTGCTCAACCTTGGGTGGTGTCTAAGCACTTGAACGTCAGCCAGTTCCGAAGGCCATCGCAGAGGAGTTGAGACAAGGTGAATAGGCTAAGGCCGCACTGTTATATTAAGTCTTTGCCATACGTTACTCAGTCCTCGTTCTTGACTTCAGAGCCATCGAGTTGGAATAACGACACGTAGTGAATCTTGCTTCTCTCACCTCTAATGCCTTCTGGGCTCTGACGTCTCGCAAAGGGGTCCGATTTCTTTGGAAATCTCGTCACCCTCGTGTCACGGGAAGACTTGCCGGGAAGTTAACGCCTGTGAGAAGGCACGGGTCAGCTTGTAGAAAGTGTGGAAGGAAAAGGCACCAATAACATCCAATAACGGCAAGTTCCTGAGACGTTTCGGCTTGCACATGGGAAGGCCAGTATCGTACGTCCTCCCTGGCATTCTGACGTAGATGGTGACGGATTCCAAAGCGGCCTTCACGAGTGCAAGCGTCTGCCATGCTGCAAGCCGGGCCGGTCGCGAACGTCCGCTCGCGCTGGCTCGTAGGGCCTTTTATGCGGCTTCCGAACATGGAGGAAACTTGAAGGTCAAATCTGGAACGACATGCCTAAGCATGCAGGTTCTCAAGCAGGGCAAGTGAAGAACGAAGGAGAGGAGCGTGAAGCCGAGTGAGATGATCGGTCACAAGGGCCTCTGTGGAAGTCCAGCATTCCCTAGCTGAATTGTGGGCACCTGTCGCAGATCGCTGTAATGAGCATCTAACGACCCCCTTCCCCAAAAGACCCAAACACGATACTGTAAGTCAACCGCCTCTGCCTCGTCACATTTCATCGCTACTCGTGGCATCTTGCGAGGCCACGGGGTATCGCGGGCTCGCACAGCCTTCTACTTGTAGCAGCATCTGCGCTAAAACTCGTGCTCTGCAACTGGTTTCCCGTGAGAGGTGGCGGGTGATTCATGCGATATTGCACTATCGTTGCAGGACTCCGTGCAGTTGCTACCGGTGGACGCTTTCGAGCCATCATCTCTCACGCCGATGCACAAAGTGCGGCCACTGGGCAAAGCATCGCTGGTGGCGTCAGTTTCTTCGATGCTGCGTGATGGAAGTGAGCGTGACAGTTCTCGTGCCATGTCGTGGAGATGTTCCAGGACAGTCGCCGGGCTCCAATACACCATGGAACGTAGGCATCCCTACTGCCTGGACCTTCGTGGTCTGCTCTTGGAAGATGTGTAGATGGAGCTCGGGACGTCTGGTTCATCATTGCAAGCCCGCGGTTTCAGTTTCAACAAGAGGCCGGCCAGCTAAATCCTCGCGCTGCCCCGGGAGCCATCACAAGAAGAATCGCATCCTCATTGTATCGTGCATGCCTAAGGTCATATGAATGTCAGAACTAAATAATTAGTTTTGTAACTCTTTCTCTCATAAGGATGTTGGTGTGTGCTTTGGTCGTGTTCTTCTCTAGACCTGTTTTGTCTGTTGTGGTGGCTGCTGGGTACAGGGAGTGTTCGCTCACAGCGCACCCGGCTGCGCCTCCTCTGCGCGGGCTTGCACCACACTGTGCCACTTTGAAGCTTCCAGCTTACTTCTGCTTACTGTGCACCTTGCACTTGACGTCGTGCTGGCGTCGGTTTCGCGCGGGACTCAGCAGGGACCCACTGTGTAGCAGTTGAGTTTAGGGTGTTCGAGCATGTTAGAGCCTGTCGTCAGATCAGGGAGTGAGTCAGCCTGTCAGCCTGTCTTTTCGAGCCTCGCCGCCCATGCCACCACCGCACCACACCGAGGAGGGATTTGGACCGGAAGGAGCGCTGAGATTCCACAGAAGTGGGAAGAGTGAGGGAGTGAGCCGAGTGAGCAGGAAGGGCGGGTTTGGCGGGTTTGGTGTTTTGGGGTTTTGGGTCTCACTTCTTCTCATCTGCGGAATGCTTCGGATAGGCCTACGGCTCCCTCATCCCTTACCACTGCACTCGAGAGCGTCAAGCTCACAGTGCACTGCCGTACTTTCGGAAATCCCGGGTCCCAAGCAGATGCCATCGCAGATGCGAGAGGTGTTTGGATTCAGAGGCCACCTATGAGCACCAGCTGAGACATACACCGTAGAGAGTAGCACGTTTTTTGGGTCAGACCCTAGGCCTTAGTTAGAGGGAGGCAGTAAGCCAAGTTTGCGACATACTTGAGCAAATTTGGCAACTGTGAAGCATTTGCTCGCTGGGGCAAGCAACCTTTTTTCACTTGGACTGGCAAGCGAGGGTGCCGAAGTGCTGTGTCGATGTCACCAAGGTGGCGCTCATAGAGAATTTTGTTGTGGCTGCCACACCCGAACGTGAAACTTCTTGCATCCTGCGTGCTGCGCAAGTCCCGTCCAAGGCCTCTGTACTTGTCGCATATTCGCGCCTCTGGTGTCAACACAGCTCATGGGCTTTGGGCAGCCTGCTTCAACTACACTTTACCAGTTTCATCTTTGAGAAGCAGGCGGCCCCTGCTCATGGTATTTTAGATCAGTGCACGGCTTTGGAGATTGGAAGTCCTACGGTGGCTGCGACTTCAATGATCATGGTACTTCAGATGAACCCCTGTCAACGATCACAAAGGCCGATGCCTAATTATGCATTCAGGGTCCTGCATGAGGAAGGGGTCACGAGACGCATGGTTGTGTTCGTTGCCCTGGGGTCGAGGTTGGCACTTTTGTTTGAACACGGACAGCTGGAGTGTAGCATGTTGAATGACACGGACACTAGAGCAGCGAACGGTAGGGTGCAAGAATGCTGCTTCAGAGTAGTGAGACCTTGGGTGCAGCTCTTCGCGGGTCTTCCTCTCAGCGTCAAGCCCAGGCAGGCTCTTTGCACATCTGAATGCTCTCTTTCATTCTGTGAGCTTTGTCACTTGTTGTCGCTTGGGCCGGTCTGCCGGGACCTTGCGTGGTGGAGCTTCGAGGGAGGCTCGGGGACATCCCCGAACTTGGCATCCCAGTCCTCGGAGAGCTTACTCGAAGTGGGTGGCAGCGGACGTGGTCCAAGCTGGCCAGCAATCTGTGTGGTGGCTTGTCTGAAGCATGTCGATCTGTTGGAGGGGTGGTTACTGGTTATGCTCAGACAGTGTTCATTAGAGAGGGAGGGAGAGAGAGAGAGAGAGATAGCAACCAGCAAGCTGGTGTAAAGGGGAAGCACCACGGACTCTGCTAGTACTACAACAAAATCGGGAGTGACGCTCTCTTCTCACCAAGTCTCCAACCTCACCGGTGCCGTTGTCAGAGCGGTTACGCCCAGAATCTCGGTCGCACAACTTGCGGCGACGCCGATCAGAATGGTGTCTGGTTGCCTTCAGTGCCTGACAGAAGTGTACAGCCCCACCTTTGCTTTCGCGCAGTTGCTTGCAACCAGGACAGCTGATCATCCATGCTGGTTCGACAGTGATCTGCCCCTGGCTCTGACACGGTGAGGATGCAGAAAAGCAAAAAAACATATCAATATGTTGTGTGTCTCAAGTCGCTGTCTGCGCAGCCTGCACCGTTAAAAGCTCATGCAGCGCAGAGCTCTGCCAAGAGACTGCCACAAGTCATTCTCATAAACAGGTGCGGTGTTCGCAAGCAACTATCCAAACAGGTTCGTGTTAGCTTCTAAATGTAGCAAAGACCCCAGCTAGGTGTGGGGGTCGATACCACGCTCATAAGGTTTGCAGCAGTTCGTGAGAAATCAAACAACAGCGCGACAAGAGTTGAATTTCGTTTGCTGGAGGCTGCAGTGTTTGCCCACCAATGAAGTGGCGAGCTCCACCCATGCTCTGCTCCCCTCAGCTGTCAGCTATTCGCAGTAAGGCTGCAGAAGGCGCAACAAGGAGATTGAGGTCTCAAGTTCAGTGGGACCCGTGCATCCATCGCACACCGCCAGAGCAGACCACACGAAAACCTCAACCGCGCTTTGAAGCGCCCGGCCTTGATGCCGGGGTTGGGTCACGAGGCATGTCGCGCTGCCAGTTGGTGGTTAAGTCACGGACATGCAGTAGTGCATATCAGCGTCATTCCATTGCAGGCGGTGTGAGAGAGGGTGTTGGAACATGAAGGTTCGGCCATTATTGAGAAACATCAACTGGTGGACCGAATTTCAACTGACTCCAGAGCTTTCCGTTCGTGGTAGTAGTTAGCCTCTTGAGTACTGCAGAGGGATAGAGAGGGAGCATGTGCAATGTGCGCCAGTGGAAGCCATGGAGCCTCTGCCGACGGATCTCTTCCAAAACCTGTCGGCCGAGGAGCTGGTGGAGGTCCGTTGTTCGTGTCGTCCTGCATCCCTCTGTCGTCCTCGCGTTGGGGGGGGGGGGGGCGGGGGCGGGGGTTTCACGTTTCCGACTTGGCCCTGAACCGTTGACCTACAAAGCAGCTTGGGCTTGGGAAGTCTCTTGCCTCTTGCAAGGCCCGGCGGGAGAAGCTGCAGCACCTGGCGCTATGGCCGAAGCTGAACTCCGGGAAGCTCTATCAGGTCCTGTTGAGGGCTGCTGTTCCGTGCACTGGGACCCGGCATGGAAGGAGAGCACATTCATGTTTGCAAGGTGCACTTCTAGTAAGGTATACTTATTTGCCATCGCTTTTTTCAAGTATTTTGCATGCAGTGCCGGTCGCGAGAAGCAGTATTGCTGTATGTTCCTTTTCGAACATGTTGCTGCATTGCATTCGACATGTGAGAAGGGAGTCTCTCAAACGTTGCTCTCTGTAGAAGTGCAAACTCTTCCCACCGTCGTTTTCACATCTCGAACCGTTTCCTTGTGTCCTCGCATCGAATGTGTTCTCTTCTTCATCGCACTAGTGATACAAAGTAGAAAAAATGGCCAACCTGCTGCCAGCGCATTCACCCGCAACCAGTTTAGCCGTCGGAACTGCCAACTTCAGTGATCCGCTGTTCAATGTCACATAATACGCAAGTTGTCGGCAGAAGCAGGTCAATGCGTTCATTGCGTGCATTATCTGGTCAGTTTCAATCAGTAGTGAGCAGTGCGCCTACATACCAGCCACTACCCTTCAACCTCTATGCCTTAGTCTACATGTAGAAGAATGAAGGTTTGATAACCCGGCACAAGACAGTACGAGAGATCGACTTTGGGGAAGCCTGGATGCCGGTGCAGGTGACGGTGGCAGATGTCCATGAGTTGTTCGCCATCTTCGATGTGGAAGGCCTGCCGAAAGTCGTTCGAACATTGCAAGTTGCAGAAAAGGGCACAGGCATGCCACACGTTGGCCTGAACTCTTCTGAAAGGCTCCGGTGAGATCTCCATGGAAGAGCTTATGGAGATCAAGAAGGCTGGGAGACAGGGCCTTGAGCTCACCCTTTCCCACGTTCCTGTTTGAAGGTCCAAGGCCTCACCCTCTCCAAGGAAGACATTGCCGCATTAGGCCAGCGCCAGCTGCATGTCGAGAGACGACCGCTGTCCACGCATAAGCAAGTACTTGGTAGCTGCTAGCTGTCAAGCAAGTGACCATGCTTGCGGGCATCGAGCTTTCTGTGCAACTTAAGCGTTTCAGGTCCGAGTTAGGAACCGTTCTGCTGCGAGCATCCTACTGTAAGGTCGTACTGATCCCATATGATCGCATGCGGATAATGTGGCTTCTTGTAAACGGCACCGATGGATTAGGACGAGATGCGGACAAAGATGGCTCCGGTCTCATCAGTGTGAATGAGCTCTACAAAGCCTTTATTCAAGGGGAGGCGCCAGAATGTTCGGAGTAGCGTAGAGTCTCATATTGAAGTGGAAGCAAAGAGTCGGCGGCGGCTTTTCGGAGGTTGCTTACAACCTCATAAAGAAGTCCATCAATGAAGAGAACGATGTGCAACATCTCGCAGAAGGGGAGCCTTGGCTTGGTACTTGGGTTTGTGTTCTGGTTCGGGTTTCGGCCTGCCGAGGAGTGCTTGATCGATGATCTCATCGAGTGGATGAGGCCCCCTCTTCCGTGAGTGTAGGGTGCGAACATGTCCGACAACCGCCACGAGCAAGCTACAAGCTAAGTTTAACAGTAGACATCACGATTTCAGACAGCCAGCGAAAAAACGGTCGAGTCAGTCCAGTTCAACATATCGCAGTCTTGGTTAACAGGGAGCATGTTTTCTTGATGCACTTACTTGTGGAAGCCGTTCTTGCAGGCAGGAATACGACACCAATGCTGCAACTTGGTTCAATGCAGGAGAGATAATTGCAGGATATTGCTGATTGGAGCCCGATGTCATGTCAAATCTTCGCTCCCGCCTGGGCTGAGGACCTCTGGTCGTTGCCTCAAACACTGCTGCTCTTCTGCGTGTTCCTTTACACAGGCAGTGCTCACTTGCCCATGCGAGACTTGGCCGCAGATGTTGTAAGAGTAGTGAGCTTCGGGGCGCAATGCTGAGGGTATGCCGCACCTGCGTTGCGATTTGCACCTTCCCAATCCATGCTCCGAGCTGCAAGAGTTTGCTGCAATCCATTTTCTGACACGTTGTATGACTCGGACGACGATTCGTGAGAGATCGGCGTAGTGCTCAGGAGCTGGCTGGGAGATTGCTGAGAACTATCCAGACACCTGGCCGCACCACATGCAAACCTCTCCGGCCCTTCGTTTGCCCGAGCCCACTAGCTTCCTTTGACCAGGCCTCAGCAGTCTTTGGTTGGGCCCTCAGAAAAGACTCGAGAAATCAAGAAAAGGCTTGGAAGCTCTAGCGGAAGACTTGGCTGAGAGGTTACTACAGGCTCTCGTGGTTATATGACAGACTGTCATTGTACGATTTCCTGGTGACCACATGGATCGCCCAGCATCTCAATCAGGACCCGGACCTCAAAAGAAAGGCTTGAGTGGCTTGAGTCGGTCCTTGATGTGGCTTCATGCGAGCAATTGGCGGTGAGTTCGGCTGCTTGACATTGCGATTTCGAAGGACCTGGATCTCTACCCGCCCGGGCGCTACTTCGGTCGGAACCAAGTGATCGGCGGATTCCGCTTCAGGCCAGGCCAGGCTCCCCCTTGAAGGCAGTCACCCTGAGGTCTGCTTCTCTGCTTGAAGCATGTGGCATGATGTGGCATGATCTGGCATGTAAACGGGCCGTCAGCTGCAAGTTTCAAGTTCAGGCGCTTCTACACGACGCCGCAAAACTGCAGCATGCCGGAATACCTGGAACGGAACCTCGTCTCCAGTGGAGGCTCTGTCCGGAAGATGCCCAGTTCCGGGCAAAGTTCCTGTGGCTGTCGTCGTGCTTCAACGTGCGCCTTTGAAACAAGTGGCCCCGACTAAGGGTCTACTATCCCTTTCCGCAAAGACTCACCGAGCCTTGCCTGATAGGGAGAAGTGATCGAAGTGTTCGGGCTTGACGGAACACGGCTCTCAGGTGCAGTGCTTCAAGCTGGGCGGCGAATCCTACGAGGACAGGTGGGTTTTATACCATGAAAGACGCTCGGCTGAGACCTGGAGCAAGTCTGGCCCCGCCAGCCAACGAACATGTGTCGTCAGAGATATTCCGAGATTTCTGACATAAGGCATCTTCCTGACATCCCAGATGCTGGTTCTGTATAGCTGTAGGATGTTGTAGGAAGCATTCCGGTAGAACAGTCCGCAGCGCGGGTTTGGAGTCATGTTTGCTTGGCGTGAACATGCTCTTTCGTCTTGCTCCAGGAAGCGACTCAGTCAGAAGAACGATGGACGAGTGGACCTACAGCAACTGGTGCCTTGCAGCGTCTTATTGCCATGCGATTTTCTAAGGTGCGCTTTTAAGGTCTGGGACTGGTCGTGCCATTGACTGCACACGCCACAGCAACGCACCAAGCGTAGGAATCATGCGATGAGATGAGGGAAAGCCCACAGCACATTCTCGATGTGTGATTTGCCCAACCTGCCAGGGTTGGGTCTTATCAGCTCACTTCAGCCCAGGTTGGATGACAACACGACTGCTCTGAACATCGATTCCGTCCTCCTGAATCCGGTTCTGGGCACGCATCTCCGCCAATCGAGTCAGGATGGTTTGAATGGCTGAACCACCCCGGACCTTCCTGGCAGCACTCCTGAAACCAACGGGCAGGTCGCCTAGGCAGCCAGGCTTGTGAACAAGACATGCCGTTGTGGTGGGAGAAGAAAGGTACACGTTCGAGCAGCTCACGTTCAGATTCGAGAACAATGGCCGCTCGTCACGGACACGATGCAAGCACGTTGCATGCAGCCCAAAAGGTGATGGAGTTGATGGTGCCTGAAAGTGTGTAAGTTAGTCTACGAGTCTACTTTGCACGCCCCTTTCCTGCATTGCGCATGCAATTGTGGGAAGTTGTAGCGCCGAAGTGATTGCGCTGCCCGCACATGCGCCTTCTGCCGATTTGACGACCGCCCTCAGGCTTCACGAAACACGTGCAGTTTGCAGAGACATTTCTGGCGGAGCCTTATAAAGACTTGTCCGGCCTCGTGCCGGACGTGCCGCTTAGCGGCAACTTCATGGCTTTGAAGGCTTTGACTGTCTGTAAATTTGGCTCTTTCCTTAGTGGCCTCATGCAGCACATGCTGCTTATTCCGATTTACTCCTTAACATCGTTTTGCTACCAGACTTTGGCAAGAGTCCTGCGCGGCAGAGGACCTCGTCTGTCAGAGCGGGTCTTTTGTCACCGTGTGTTTATTCTAATTTATATGTTGCCCTGGCTTTCGCGTTGATATGCACACATGCCCACATCCCTCTTCACTTTTGTTGTGAATGTTGTGTGATCTCCTTGCCATGATCTCTGCGGCCGCGAGCCCCAGGCATGAGAAGTCGCCATTCCGCATCCTTTGTCTCTTGACGTAAGTCCCAAAACTCGATCGCCTCACTTCGACCCTTCGATCTTTCGCCCGTGTGTATTTCGTAAGACTAGCGAGCTTTCGGAACCACCGGGTTCCGTGTCTGGGGCCTGCCTGCAGAAATTTCGCACCGGCGGCATGCCTACAGCATCTGTTGAACACGGAAAGAAAGCAACGGCCAGGCTGTTCATGCTCATCTTGATGCGCATTCTGTATTCAGAGATCAAGGAACTGCTGCCTGCTCTCTCGCCACTTGGCTTCTCGAGTGCTCGTTGCTTCGCTACACTTCTCCTTCTCTGTCTGATAAAATTCGGGAACTCAGGATCGGGTTTGATGGTATCATGAACTACCTGCAATTCTGGAACATTGTGGCTTGGCGATTCCTGACCAGTGTTTCTTCACCGTCATCACGAACCGGTTCAGCCTGGGAGCCTTCTGTACCGCATTTGCAGAAGGTGTAAGGCTGAATGCCGACACGCTGTGGGATCCGTCGGGCATATGCAGCCCCAAAGAAGTAAGTATTGCGGTTGCATGGCCTCATGCTTTTCGTCCTTTTGCTGTTGAGGGTGAGGAGCAGGCAGCTGCCAATCGCCAAAATTGGCTGCTCGTGTCTTTTTGGGCTTCGAGGCTGCGATTCGAAAAACTGCCAGCCCTACTTAGGTGGATTGGCTGGCTATCTTTTGGGGGGCAATCTGTGCTCCCGTCGACTTGCTCGTGAGTACTTGATAGAGCATTTGCTTTTGGAGTCGAGGTTGATCGACATGGGCAATGTTTGGGTGCATGTGTCGTGTGTGAGAACCGCAAGAGTACCGCGAGACATATGCCATCCCTAGCGGCAGCAAAAGCGTCACCCTGAAGTTCTGCCAGGTGCTGGACTCTGGGTCGTCTTCTGCATTCATCTCTCCATGGTGCAGCCCCGAATCGTGAGCTTGCCCGCAGACAGTGTATAGCTGGTCTTGGCGGGCGATGTTTCTGTTCAAGAAAGGCGAGAGGTCTGGAGAGGTGATGGGAGGCACAGCGTTCACAACAAAGGAGCAGCTCCCCTTGCGACAGATGGACCAAATTGTGCCTGGGACCAGCAACATTGGAGCTTTCTGTGGGGGTACCTACGGCGTACGGTTGTTGTCCTATGGGCCGGTGAGTCGTTTAAGACTGCATGGCACCGATAGACAAGGTGTATGCAAACAACACCTACATGCAGAGATGGGAGGCTGCACGGATGCAAGCTCGACTTTTTTTTGCTCCTGGGATCGAGTTCCTTTCGCAGGTTTCCGTCCTGTCTTGTTCGATGTACAAGCCCGGAAATCGACCGTTGCCCTTAGTGGTTACGCTAATGGGCAAAGTATGAACGTCAGGCAGCCGTGAGGTGTCAAAAGGCCGTGGAATGTGCGGCGGTTGCCCTATCTCTCTCACTCTCTCTCGCCTCTCTCTCGCCTGTGCAAAGCAAGTCCATCTCTACACCGAAGCAAGCAGGCTGATTTCCAGGTTACCTAGGAATCACTAGCTGCCTCCATTGGGATCTGTCATGGGAGAGTGGTCTTAGGGGGTCGATATAAGCCGGTATGGCCGAAGCAATGGGAATAATGATTGGCGATATCTCGCCGGGTACGCCGGGAATTAAATGAACGAGAGAGTGTTCGTACACTCGGGGTAGCGCGCGTTGTTGAAGCAAGTATTGATGACGATGCGAAGCTTCCGTCATTGCTAGTTTCGCCGTGTGAATTCCGGGGCTCCGACCCTTCTTCGAGAGAATTGCAGGTAATCATGAGCAGCGTTAAAACAAAACCTATTTCGGAGCTGAGCGTCATGGCGAAGGCTAGGCTTGAATGTGTTGCGAGGAGGGCTGTAATCTGCGCATGTGCTCTTAGCTTCGGCAGATATTCGTTGGAGCATTGCTCCTCAGAGGGGTTAGAATGCGACGGCAAAAGGAGCTCTTGATCTGAAGAATCCGTCGGAGAACCTTGTAGTAGATAGAGTTCAAACGTTGTATATGCGATCGCATATAAGATTGCGACTCCGAAGCATACAAGAGAATGGCCAATGTGATCTGCGAGTGAACCAACAGCTAGCGCTTATGCGAGATCTGGGAGTGTCCAGAAAAAGCGTCTAAAGCGTTGAGACAGCGGAGGGGTTCCGAGTATCAATGTTGAGCCTCTTCGTCTGCGCCTGCGTTGGCATGTAGAGAAACTCCCAAGTAATGGCCCGCATCAGTGGGTTCAGTCACGTCGATTGCTGGCGGAAAGTTTCCCAATATGGGAAACCAGCATGAGCAAGTGCATCTGGGCACAGGAGAAGACATAACGCCAACTGGCCCATTCTGGTTGATGTCTAACAGTTGACACTTCTCGATAGTGAGGGGTAAGACTCGACGGCCAGCCAAATATTGTAAGTGATGGAAAAGGTGCTTCATAGCCTGGGTTGTTCGGGTTACAAAGAGAGTATCGTCCGCATTTTCTAGATCAGCCTACAATGCAGAAGAGCAGCACATACTTTATAAACTGTGCTTGTGAGAGAAATATGACGATACCTAGCAGGAGATTTAGGATCTGTCTTGTTGCTTTTCTAGATCATGATAGCAGACAGGGGCCTGGTTCCAATTTAACGGCGCGGCAGCCCTGGGAAAAGACTTGGTTAGAATGTTCGAGGAGGGAGAGTCTGAACTCCCTCGGCGCATACTTCCGGAGCTATACCGGTATCCCATCCGGTCCCGGAGCTTCTCTGTGGCGCATAAGGTATTTCGCAAGTACCTCTGCCTTCAGTGATCTACTTTACTTTTTTGCATTGGGTTGAGACACCCCCTGTGTGTGGGGGGTATAAGGTTTCCGGACAAGCTTCAGTGTGGCCCATTGTTTGGATGGTGGGCCTGGATGAGAAAATTTCAGAGATGCTGCCTTTTGTTGCTTTTTTCGACTTGTCGTCGTACAGCTTTTCTGTTTTTTTTTAGGAGTGGCGACGTCTGAGGAAGGAGTGTTTTTTTATTTGTCCATAAGAGTTTTGGAAAGCGAAGAAAGGTATTCTCTTTGAACATTTTCGGCACCTTCTGGCCTGAGGTGGCTGGCGGCCTCTAGGACAAGGACAGAGGAGAGAAATGAAGACCGGGCTTCGAATTTTGGAAAAGAGAGACATCAGGACGGAGCAAAGGAAGGAGAGGACGAGCCGGAAAGGAGTGACGACCAAAAGTCGTGTGGGATGTGACTCCTTCGAAGGCAAGGTGATCTGCGCGGGCGTTCCCCTCAATTCCCACATGTCCCTTGACTTTCAAGATAGAGAAGTCGAACAGGCGAGTGGCGCACAAGAAATGAAAACGGAGTTGCAGTGTAAGCTCCGGGGAGGAGCGACATCACCGGCGGAGGCCTTGGCTTCAGACATGTCTCAAACGATGGACAAACTTCTCGTAAAGGACGTGAAATCCCATAGTTGAGAGAGCTGACACATCTTAGTGAACATAAATCTAGAAACTGAGCACAGCTGCGAAAGAGCTGGCACAACCGACACTTTCAGGTGACTGCCCACTTTCGGGGCGAGGGTTTCTGGTGGGAGGTCCACCACACCTACACCTTCTGCCAAAAGCCTTTGCCTCTGCGCTGATGAGGTGAACATCATGATGCCACGGCCGGAGTATGAAGCCCTGCTGGAGAGCATGATGCAGGCATGCCAGGCCGGTCTGTGGATGTTGCCTAGAACACCAGCCGAACTCAGATCTCAAAGCATTCCAGCATTCATTGAGGACGCTTCCATTTGGCATGAGGCTGTTCGAATGGCCGCTCGACGTCAAAATTTGACGACAGACGACATTTTTGTGTCTTTTTGGTGTGGATGATTGTCTCCAAAGAGCACTTCCACAACAGCTGTCATGTTCGTGCTCTCCACGGCAACCAAGCTCTGCGTCTTGTACCTCTTCGTCCTGATGATGAAGTTCTTCAAGTAACCTGGCTTCCTCAGAGCCGCGTCGTGGGAGAGCTTTGTAAATCTGAATTGGGCCTTGAAGTCTTTGGGCTTCGTCCGCTTGCATCCACAGAGGCTTTCAGGACACGGTGCCCCGTGTCATGGAGTCGCGGTCTGCTCCGAGGTCTTTCAAGGCAAACGCTCAGCTGGACGTTGTCATTACGACTTTGTCGGGCTCTGTTAAAGACGCTGGGACTTAACGCTTTGCCGCTTTGTCTTGGCTGCTTGCTGTTCTCGACATCTGGCTCAGGATGTGTCTCACTTTGCGATTGTCTTCCTGACCATTTTCCTCTGCCTCTCAGTTGAAGTTTAGGGATGCCATCTGGGCTTGGCAGGGAGTGGATTCCGCTGTAGGCGTCTGTCTATACTCGGTACTTGGGGGGCTGTCTTGCACCGAGCAAAGCCAGACTCAAGACAAAGATCAGGCTACGCTTGGAGCGGTCATGTTCGAGCCCCAGACTTCGGCTGCTGGCGGAGTTTGAGACATTCGACAGTTCTCAGTGGTGGGGGGGGGGGGCCGGCAGATGTTTCAGAATTTCCCGGCAGCCCTGCACACGACAGTCATTGCCCAAAAAGCTCCTGGTAACTCGGGAACCTGCTTCAAACCTTCGAAAGCCGCAACGATTCTCCAGATCTTCTTCGGGAAGACTACAGAAGGTTGCAGTACGCTGCTCGGCCAGAAGATGCCCCGCGATGTGAGCATCCTGGAAGTTCCTCCATTTGCCTTTTTTGTGCAGCAATGTGGTAAAGCCTGCGTCGGCATGGAATGGCCTGGAAGTATGATGTTAATCGTGGGCCCTAGTCCACAGTCCAAAGTAGAATCCAACGTATGAGGACGTGTAATAAGGGAACTGGTTCGGGCACTCCCCTATGTTTGGTCGTGCCAAGGATGCTGGGTGCCATCTTCTGGCGCTGGTCCAGTGTTCCGGCATGAACATCAGGTTACACCTCCGTGTTTTACGATGTTGACCTTGCTTCCGTGCTGCATGCAGTTTCAAGCTGCGCTAGAGATTTATGCGTCTATGCAGGGTTACATCATAGCCAGAGACCCAACGTGCACAGGACGCATGAAATATGTTGGCGGCATGAGTTCAAGATCTGCGCGTCATGCTGCATGCTGCATGTCGACAGGATGACCCCAATTTACCAGGGCTTCATACCCGACCAGAATCTAAACTTGAAGGCTAGCGGCTAGATGTTTCCCGAAGCGGAGCAAACATACCTTGCGACGGATCTTGGGACTGAGGTGGCGTGGGAGTTGGCGACATGGAAGATCTCGATTTGCTGGGCCGAGCCCCGTGCTTGAACAGAAGTCCGCAGCATCGGAATCCTGCAACGCAGGAGTGCTCGATCCTTGCGGCACGAAATGGAGCTCGCAAGTGAGACGGTAGTTTCCATATCGCATGCTGAGATCCTCGGCTACACCTACACTTTGTCATACGAGTTCTTGGTGCAGCACTCAGCTAAACAATGGCTTGCCAAGTCGCAAGAATTCATGCCGCGCTCGACGGGGCCATAATGACCCCCTGCCATGTCACAGCCCACTCTATCAGTATGTTTGATTGTTGCTCCGAGACTGTCTAGCAACGAAGACTGGAACAGTTTCAACGTTCCACAATCGAACCAACGAGCTGCTGCTGGCGACAAGAGTCCCTCATTGTTGCGGGGGCAGTTCGGTCTGAGCCGGACAGGAGTTTTACGATGTGACCGTGCTTGCTCCTTGTCTTTGCGATTCTCCAGCCTGCTTGGGGCACACGGGATAGGTGTTTCTGTTGCTTCCCGAAGAAAAACACCTGAACCTGCGTGCCGAAAACACAAAACGTTTCACATGCAGCATGGAGTAAAGCATGAGAATGTGATGCCTGCTCCACAATCTGATGACACCGGCTTAATGAGGTGCCCGGTACTCTATTCCGGGGCATAGAAAGTTGTTTTCAGTTTCGGGCGTGTGTTTCTGCTCATTGCAATCCTAGCTCTTCGGGTGCCGAATTGCCGAGCTCCGACCGAAGCTCCAAAGACACGAGGCACGGCGTGGCACAGCAGGAGCCCCCCATCTCGTCTTGGTTCACGACTGGGGTCTGATCTCAGGCACATCCAAATGCATGCCGAACTGTTGAAGCCTTTTTCAAAAACAATTTCCGCGTCCCGAGGCCTGAAACATTAGCAGGGTAGTTTAAACGCCTTCTCAATTCGGGAGCTCTTGGTGGACGTCCGTGTCGTCAGCTTAGGTGCTGAATCTGCTGTTCGGCATTCTGTTTGGCTTGATCTTTGCTGCTCGGACTGCAGCCAACCGGTCCGGTCCGTCATGGAAAGCTGGCACAAAGTTGAGGAGTCCTACGGCCGGACCCAGAAGGAGGCAGGGAATCCAATCTCGGTGGTGGAGCAGACCCACGGCTGCAGTTTGTGCCAGACATTGCTTTGCTTCTCATATTCTTTAGAACGACTTGATTCACGGTACTGCGTGACTGTCGCATGGCCGTTCGCGAATCGAAGTCTTGCGGGAGACTAAAGACAAGGATTCGCCGGGCTGTGAAGGAGATGCCGCTTGCCTAAGTTCTACAGAGAGAGAGAGAGAGAGAGAGAGAGAGAGAGAGAGAGAGAGAGAGAGAGAGAGGGGGATCCCTACACGAGAACAAAGAGCAAACCGAGTAGTACACTGCCGTAGTCTGGACTAACCCCGATACCGGCCACTCACTAACACAGAGGGTGGGCCGGGCGGGCCTAAGGCCTGGGGGGCGCCCGCGACCCCTACGCCCTGCAGAAAGAAAGAAAGAAAGAGAGAGAGAGAATACATCGTTTTGAGGTAGTCAGCCGCATTGTTCATTATGTTCTTTTGGCTGTTTTGAGTGCAGTTGCGGAGTGCAGAGCTTTGTCCTTTTTGGACTTGCGAGAGTCGTGGTTTGCGTATAGCCTTTACTCACCTCCGCAAGTGTCGGGGGCGCACGTGCGCGCGGTATAGGGGGTAACACCCCCATACCATAGCCCTGGCGAAAGAAAGAGAGAGAGAGAGAGAGAGAGAGCGAGAGAGCGAGAGAGCGAGAGAGCCAGAGAGAGCCAGGCCGCGTGAACGAAAGAGACAGGGAGAGAGACAGAGAGAGAGAGAGAGAGAACGAGAGCGAGACGCAGTACCAGAGCAGGGGGAAGGCCGGGACTACAACCAGCAGAAGGAGACCGACGCCACCGACGCCGACAACCAGGAGCAGGTTCGCGACGAGGCCAAGCCGGGCACGAACCTGAACAACCTCGACGGGGCGACTGCTTAACTCACGAACAAATGGCGGCGCTTAACAGCTTGCAAGCAGCCGTCAACGAAGCGGGGGAATGGCTACTTTCCCCACGCAAGATGATCCGGCCCTGGGGACCACAGTGCAGTGGCACGCACCCTCACCAGAAGAAGGTCACGTACAAGAACACTCCAGTGAGGGAGGCCGCTCCAGAACCCCCCCTCAAGATGATGACGACGGGGGGAGCCACCGTAGACGAAGACTGCAGGCTGCCTTTTACGGACGACACGGGCCAGACTAAATACTCTTAACCGGGGCACCAGCCTTAGCCAGTTACAACTGTAACATGGTAAAAGGGGAGCCATGCCAGACCGTCGGCCAGACTTTAGAGTACCTGTGCATGACCAGGACAGCCACCGTCTTACAAATGGAAGGGAATCTCCACAAACAACATAATATGTTTCATGAACGCTAGTCCTGGTCCGGCCCTCAGAGTGCCTGCGCGTGTGTGTGGTGTTGTTGCCTGGTAGTCCTAACACTCTGAGAGTCCAGTAACAACCAAAAAGAGGGGGAACAGTCGGGAGGGCAGCACTAAACGGAGGACTCTCCCCTGAGGCCGTGTTTTGTGACTGCATCTTCGGTGTTCTGTGCTGTTGCAGGCCGGCGGGGAGGACTCACTGACTGTGTAGAGCCGAGCCCCTTCAGGAAAAACCCGAAGGGGGGCAGAGGACCGCCCAGTGAAACGCGGGTGTGCGTGCGCGCACGGGGGAGGTAGCCAGGACGCTGCTACCGACCCCACACGCAGCCCAGGAGAGAGAGAGAGAGAGAGAGAGAGACAGGAGGGAGGTAAAAATGGCTGCGGAGTCTGGATCTCAGGACGTTTCAGGTGGAGGCAAGCGAAGAAGCAAAGTTACTTCAGTTTTTGTCAGAAAGCAGAACGGTCATAGGTCACGAGACTAGCATCCTTGTTCACCGAGCGTGCTTCTGCTTTGCCGGACGAGACACATGCTTCAGCCGTGGCGGCTTATCTAAGGCGGAAGAAGAAGGACTTCCTGGACGAGTGGTACACCATTAACAGGCTGATAGATGACGAATCTCGGACGTGGGACTTTGCACAAAGTTTTAATTCAAGATGCGGAGAACCCAGAGGCCTTAAACGACTCGGATTTGCTCACTTCCACGAAGGTTCTTGTGTAACTCGAGACCTCGAGCTTCAGGGTGCTTCTATGGGAGACTCGTCCGGAATCGAGCCGTCGGGCCGTCGGCTCGACAGCCTGTCCAAGGACATGCCTGCCCACCCTGCCGAAGTGGTGACAGTGAAAAGTCTCGTCGAGGCCTTCCAAGCAGACAGCATGACCAAGGCTGGGTTTAGGGTACTCTCGCCATCTCTCGCCGCAATCTTCACCCTGCAAGGTGAACGCAGCTGCCCAGCTGAAGATTAGTTGTCCGAGGGTCCGAAGTGGGCACGGTTTAGGAACAAGCACGGTGCCCGGGCAGCACCCTTCGCGATGCCCGAGGAATACATCATCAACCACGTGCGTGAATACCAGACTAGCAAGACCTCGGAGGCCCGGGACGAAACATCTCCGACGAGTGCGAAAGGTTTAAATTAGGATCGGGAAGGGAGTATAATTACCGTTCGGCATCATCCTGAGCTACCAGTAAGGTTGAGACAGAAGGCCAATCTTCAGTGAACTGCCGTTAGCCGAAAGCGGGTCATGTGAAGGTGGAAGTGTCTTTGCTGGATGCACTCCGTCTGGTGGCGAGAACGCGTACCTCGTGCTTTCCTCAAGCTTTCCAAGAGGAATCACGAGCACGAGCGATATGCTGCTGTGTGGTTCTGCCAAGGAGCCTCCGCTCCATCCAGGTCACGGAGAGTCTACTGAGCATGCTGCTAGGTCCGCAAGACTCAACCGGTGAAGATGTGGGTCTGTGTTCGGTGCTTGTGATGCCTTTGTGCACAACGAGGCTGAAGGCAGAAAGCCAGAAGCCACAAGAGATGCGCTTTCGCTGCATCATGGCGGGCTTTGACCCCGACGCCCCTGGCGAGATGCAGGAGTTCTTGCGTGTTCAGGCGCTGCAACTATGGCTGCAAAGAGATACCTTTCAAGAAAGCAGGGTGGAGCACAGAATTGATAGACATTAACGTCCAATCCTAAACTCTCGGACCCAAGCTGTAAACCAAGAGGGGTTCATGTACATGTCTTCTGAGCAGAGTTGTTTAGGGCCGTGTCCGGAGCCCGCACGGGCTGACAGACGTCTCACCTCAGGTGCGTGTTGTTCTTCTTCAGTCGACTAGGGGGGGACAGATTCTTGTGTTCACATGGAAGGCTGCGAAGAGGAATCCGGAGCTTCTGTGGCCAAGCTATCGATTTTCCATCTCAGGCAAGCACTCGAAGATGACAATCCACTGCCTGGCCAAGTACAGCCCGTGCTGCAGACCACAGTTGCTTTGTTTGCAGAAGGAGCAGGGCTCTTCCAATTTCTCTTAGTTTCAAGGAAGTTTGACGATTTGCGACCCAGGCCGCAGTCCAACATCACTCGGAGAGCAAGGCGACGGTGAACAGCCACAGCATCGATGGCACCAAAGAGGCCCTGTTGGACTGCCTTGAGGGAGGATCGTGTCGTGTTCGGAAGCGCAGCATGCCGCATGCCCAGTGAGAGGAGCCTGTTGAAGTTGTGGATCGAAGCGAGCAGCAGGCGAAGGCCCGTTCCGGGTGCAGAGCGCAGATCGCCCGTTGCGGTTTCCATGCAAAAGAGCGATGCAGGAGCAGCAGCTCCTCGCCACTCTCGATCGCTTGGCAGTGATCGCCCAGGAGTCGCAGGCAGAGGATGCCTCAACGGCAGGGCCCACATCGTTTGAGCCTTTTGCGAAGCCCTCGGCCACATCATGCCACATCCTTGCCTGAGGTCTCGCAGACGCTCAAAGAAATACAGTCCTACCAGGAGCAGTCGGCCAACTTTAACAAGGATCAGCAGTTGCCTGGCACCACGACGTCCTAGTCAGAGCATCCGGTCCACGTTAGTCATTGTACAGGGCCCTTCGTCTCTGTGGCCTGTCGCCTGAATGCCGCCGAGCTGAGGGCAGTTCGCAAAGACCTGAGCGCACACTGCAACAAAGCCCAGGAAGGCTGGGGCAGACTCCGAGAGCGCTTGAAAGAAGCTGAGCTGGGCTTGTGTGGTCCTGCAGTGGAGAAGTCGCTTTGTGCCGGAGGCGCCAGTCAATTGGCCGACCGATTCCAGTCAACGGACCTCCACACCCTCCAGGTGTGGGGCAGAGCCTGATAGGAGGCATTGGATCTCCACGTCGGTGCATGTTCCCGTACCCGTGTGAGATGAACTCGCTCTGGGCTGGACCTTCCTCACACGCAGGACCTGCCCGAACGGATCAACCGTCTTGCTCAGCTGGCCAAGGTCCGCGCCCCAAGCCGAAGTGTGCCGCCGTGAGCGCCTTGACACTAGGCCACTAGGCTAAGTTTGCACCAAGGCCTCGCGCAAGGCGGTGGAGAGCTGGCGGCTAAGATTTTGGAGCCGCGGGATACCTTGGGCCCTCGCCCTCTCCTCCTCTCCTCCTGCCTTCGTCTTCTCTCGTAGAGCCGAGACGGACCCTGAGGTGGCAAGCCTGGCTTCGGCTCTGATCCCCTGAAGCGCCTGGAGATGAGCATCACCATGCTTGCCGCCCCTGCCCTAGGGTTTCAGCTCAGCTTCGATCTTTTGCTCTCTTTTGCTTCGCTTAGGACCGCTGTCGGAAGTACACGGAGGAAGTGGAGGCGAGAGCAAAGCGGAGCCTGCCAGAAGGACAGGAAGTCAGCTTCCAATCCGGCAGCTTTGCTAGGCCCAGAACGATCTGAAAGCGATGCTACGCCGCGTGACCTCGAATCTGGTGCCTTGGCATGGACTTCTCTTCTGCTCCAGTTTCCTTGTCCGGCTTTCATCAAACTAGGCCTCTCTTTCAGCCTTCGCGAGCCCGCAAGGAAGAGCAGCAGCGAGCTGCAGAAAGCGAACGACCAGAGCCCCAAAGCCGCAAGCCCCGCCTGCGGCTATAGCTTGAGGAACATGTAGCACTTCGAGACGTAGAAACGCTCAGCTGAGAGAATCAAAATTTAAGCGTAGCGCCTGCAGGCATTCATTCTAGATGTGCATAGAAGCAACATCAGCAATCGCACCACAGGGCACGATCAGACACCTTGGGTCTCACCAGACTTCCCCAAGTTGTGGGTCCCTGCAGGCACGACTAAATATCAAAATCCAACTGCAGACTGCCAACTAATCGGGTACCCTGACCTGGGGGCAGGCGAAATTCGATCTCATGGTACCAGAAAGTGGCACGCATCATGACATTGAGCTGATAGCATCTGATAGCAGTAGTAGCAGCAGTCGCAGTGGCGGCAGCAGTTGCAATAGTGGTGGTGGTAGTAGTGGTAGTAGCAGCAGCAGTCGTGGCGGTGTTGGTGATGGTGTGTCGCAGCAGTGACCGCGGAAATTGCAGCATCTGCATCCGTCGGAAGCATAATCAGAGCATCCCATCTTGATGATTGTAACCTCTACCAGCCCTCGCCGTGCGTCGTTTCGAAGAACACTAGAGATGCTGTATGCTGGATGCTTTAGAGCCTGGAGGAGGGAAATCACAGAGATGCTGCAAACCTGCTGAAATCTAAACCACGTGCATGGGTTGAGGAAGAACTGCAAGGTCGGTATTTGCTGTAGATGACAGCGATTGCAGGTTTCATGTACAAACATGGTATTGTAGCTTCGACCAGCTACATCCAGCTACAGGGTTCGGACGCGTAGATATCTTGCCTGGTTGTTTGTGCTGTCGAAGCCCAGGAGGTGCCCAGGTTTCCTTGATGTCGCATCCTCATAGCTCTACAGCAGTCTAAGTCTAGGTCTCGTCAAGAAGATCCAGTGTCCAGCCTGGTGCCACTTCTGTAATCGCGGAAGCATGCATGATGTTAGGTATCGCTAAGCGATGTTGGGAAAAAGGAGTCAGCTACATCTGTGTCTGGGTTCGCTTTGTTGGCGGCCCTCGCAAGTCGTGAGGGGCATGATGAGTGATCAGAGTGTATCGACGTAGTGACGTGTTCAGAAGCGCGAACAGCTTTTTGAGCTTCGCTTGACTTTGTTTGATTGCTTTGGCCAGACTTTTGCCTGCGACCCGGGTCAATTGCAGCTTGGAAGATGTTGGCTGGAAGCTAGAGTTAAGCAGCTGGCTTCGTGATCCATTCCAGGGTGTTATCATTGGAGGCTTCTCGAGTGATAGTTGCAGTTGTCCTCGTGGTGCTATCTTGCTGTGCAACGAGCTTGCATCTGTTCCTGCTGCGTCTTCAGGTTTAGCTGTAAGGTTGAAGGTTTGGGAAGTGTGGGGTCTAGGATCTTCTTCCTCGGCCATGGGTTCGGTAGACGATGACCCAGACGAGCGGTCTCTACTACTGTGCATGCTTCTGCGCTGCAGTGGGATCTGGGTTTGGGGTGCGGCGACGGCCCGCGTTTGCTTTTCCGCTCCTCCCGCCTCTCTCCCCTCCTCTCCCCGCAGATTCAGCTTGGCTAGGTTCTGGATATCAACTGGCTTCTCTTATGGCCCCGAACAGTATTTCCGATACCGAGCTCTGGTGGCATTGAGTGGGCAATCAGGACCTCCCCCGAAGAACTGGCACCTCAAGACTGACACTTGTCGCTGCAGGAAGGTGAAGGCAATTGAACAGAAAGCCAGTATTGCTTCGGTTAGAGCTGAGGAGGCAAACCAAACGACAGGGGCCTGATGCTTGCCTTGTGCTTGTTTTTGTTACTACTGCATTCGGCTTGACCCACCTCTCCGACAATGGATGCCTTGAGTGCAACAACTTTGGAGCGAGAAGGACTGCTGTGCTGCCAGAGTCACACTTATAGTCGAGGTTTACATGCAAACAGATGAGAACCATGAATCGAACTGATGTCTTGCCGTGCATACCGGTGGACGCTCCCTCGCTCCCTCTCCCTCCCTCCCTCACTTACTCACTCACTCGAAGCGCAACAATGGGCGGAAGGATACACATTAAAGTCTCCATGTGGGCCTTTTCAGAGTTTCCTCGCTTGCTTGCACCTCCCCCGTCTAGGATTACTAGGTTCAGTTCTCTTCTCTCGCGTTCCGCAGTCGGTACTTGATCGGTCACGGCGCCGCAGCATTCTTTCTTCTCGTTGTCCGTCAGCTAACACAATCAATATTGACTCACAATCATCATGGCTCCCCATTGAGTTTCTCGGGACTCTGCAAACCAACTCTTTAAGCCTTCAAGCTGCTGTAGCCGCTGCAGCCTTGTGGACATGGAGGCCCAGGACCTGAACGGCCCGGCTCCTGAAAAGACCTGGACCTCTGCTGCGAAGAACGCCCCTCGGGCACTGCATCCAAGCCTTCGCCAGAAGTAGACCAAGGCGTACGTGAAGCGAGTCGACCGACTGCTTGCAGCATTTAGGACTTTGCCGCCGCCCTTTCGGTCAAAGTTACTTCTGGGGAGGCGAATCGAACATGAGCCCCTGAGCCATAGCTTGCGTCTGAGTTTGACTCAAGAATGGCTAGACAACAATGGTTTCCTTGACAAGAGACTGATGCAACGAAAGGGCGGAATATGCCAGCAAGTACATTCGATGAAAACAAGTTTGCTCGGATCCCAGCAACCCCTGAGCCAGCTCGTAGCAGCTCGTAGCTCCAAGAATGCAGTGGCACGGTCGCGATGATTCCGGTGGAGACTTTCAAAGATAAAGTCCAGCTGTGTGCTGTCTGGGAGAAAGTGAGGGAAGGCCGGGGTCGAACGACCAGAAAGCGGCGTAAGTGTTTCTTTATGCTTCCTGCAGCTTCTCCCTGGCCAGGCAATGTGCATCTCATAAGCGTTGATGACGTGCAAGAGCTGCTGGAGTTAGAATGGCTGGTGGCACACCGTGTCAGTGTCGAAAGACTCTTTGGGTCTGTGCAGTTTGCTTTGGTACATGACGGCTGCATGTGCTTCCAAGGCTGTTTTATGCTTTTGGCGTGTATGGAACCCTCGACACACGCGAGCTTGTGAAGCTCTGTGTTCTAGAGGCTCGGCATCAAACTGGTTCCTTCTGGTCAAAATTCATATGCTGCAAAGGCCGCACTTGGCCTGATTATGCTGCCATGATGTTGCCATGTTGCCATGTTGGCAAGTTGCCACGCGGCGAAGCGGATGATACGGGTGCTCGTGGTGCGACCGAACCAGAAGCACTGGAGATTGCAGGAACAGGAACGGCCGTTTGTTTTGATTTGACTCTCAACCGCCTTGCTGTGCTCCAAGGACGGCCTTGGTTTGACAGCCCAAGATGTGAAGGAGTGGATTCAGGACTCCGACGCAGAAGGGATAGGGGAGGCCTGGCAATTTCGACGGCAAAGTTTGCCGCGCTCGGAACTTGCAAGATGTCATGCAAACCTGGCAAGCATGATGTTCTGAACAAGGTATGGCATGCATTTGGAAGCTGCCAGTAAACTGAACGTCCATGGCATTGCATCTGCGATGTTTCCAACGTATCGTTGCTCGGAGGTCACCGTCGAAGACGTCCATCGAGGGCTCACTCGTGGGAATGTTGCATTTACACTGGTGAAGATTCCAAGCTAGAACTGGAATCTTTTCTGTGTCAGCGTGGCATCGCAAAGAGCCCCGCCAGTAGGCTTCAGCTGTGAGATCTGTGAGTCTTATGAATGCAACCATGAACAGAGCTTTTCGAAGATGGGAGACCCGAGCAGAAGGATTGATTGCCTCTTTTTGACAGCGGATGATCGCCGTTTGGCTTCTGCCTTTGAGCTAAGGAAAACCTTGTTCGGCCAGGAGAAGGAGCCGCAGCATGCAGCCCGGATTTAGCGGCCCAGGCACAAATGCACAGATGGTGAAGACTGGTGCAAGTACACAACAGCCGCAGGACCACAAGTCAACGGAATGTTCCTTGACGGAGCTTCTGGATTGGCTGAAGTTTGAATATGCCACCTGTCTTCTTCATTCTCTTCCTGTGATTTACAGCCCATGGCAGTGTCCTGTGTCTGCGGCTGAGGACAAGAAGAGCAATCTTTGGTCTTTGCCAGAGACGCTGCTCCTCTTCTTCGCCTTCGTTCTCGCTTCCGCCGTCCACCTCGGGGTCTTCGAGGCCTTCAGGCGAGGCCTGCAGCTGACGACTGGAAGTAAAGTCCAAAGTCCATGTCCAGAAGAAGGATTATTGGTCAACGCTCACGTGAGTCTATCTCAAAACCGAAAGTGTCTCAGTATCTCATCCAAGACGCTGTGCCCTGCGCGTTATCTCATTATACAAGGATGTGCACAGACCGGAAACTTTTGTGAAGCCGACCGCTGTTGCAGCCAACTCTGCTGCTATCCCCCTTTGCACTGCAGGATCTCCCAGGTGTACGATCTTGGTTTGGGTTTTGGCCCCTCGCAAGCAATTCTCAGAGTGTTCACGGCTTGACGCGACATTGATGCTTTGATCATGAAGCTCGGGGAGTCTCGTGCTGGTTTACCCTTGTCGATTCTGAATTCGTCAAACTGTACTTTCTGTGGATCGAGTACGGCAGCGGCACCTGCATGGCTACACAGCAGCAATTGCGACTGTAAGGATAGTTCGCGACCCACAGCTAGATTTATGTGTTCAACTCGGTACTACTTCCGTGGCTGGACGACGGCCAGCATGTCAGTTTGGTGCTTGCAAGGTTTCTTTCCAGAATGGAACATCGAGTCAGTGTTTGTCGGAACGCAAACGCACATGACTAGAACCGAAAGCAAAGCACCTTGACCTGTGTCTGCTCGGTAGTTCCAAAACCTCGGAGGCCCACTGCGGCAGATCACAGGGCTCAGCCTGGATCAGTCCTTGTATCGCCAGTCATGCCGATAGTCGGACTAGATTTCGGAACACGACTTCGCTTCCGCGTTTACAGACGGTTGGAGCCAGAGGTGATTTTCTGGCTTACGACATGGTTGACCACGAAACGTTCTGGATATGGATAGAGCGTGGCTTCCTGCGAAACATCTTCAGGCAGCGGGACTCTTCCATGTGGGTTGAGTTTGACAGCAAC